ATGTTGCAATTACAGCGTATCAACCTATTTTCATTTCAATGCAAAATAAGTCTATAACGCATAGGTGGCTGTGAAAAATAAAAGCCGTGACAATTGTTTTTATTAATCACAGCTGTCAGAATACGTTTCAAATAGTTTTGGGTAGTTAAAGTTTTCAAAATGGGTAGAGGAAAGGTTATTAGTGAGAAAATTCGGTTACTGATAATTAATTTTTTTAATTCTGGGATATCAAACTCAGAAATTGCAACTTTGTTAGACCTATCGCGGTACAGTGTAAGAAATATTGTTAGAAGATATAACGTAACTAGTTCAGTTAATATTAAGCCACGATATGTGAAAAAAGGTAATATCACAAATGTCGACCGAAGAGCATTAAGAAGAATAATCGTGAAAAACAGGCGTGCCAATTATTTACAATTAAGTGCTCTGTGGAGTGACGCTGTTGGAAGGGGAAATTCGAGGTCCACAACTCATAGAGAGGCCCACAAACTGGGATTTAGCACTTGCAAGGTAAGTTTTCTTATAAAAAAAGTGAAGTAAAAACCCTAAAGTTGCACAACTTGTTTATAGGCCAAAGAAAAGCCACTATTAACTCCACTGCAAAAGAAAAATCGGCGTAGATGGGCTAAAGAACATAGACAATGGACACCTCAACAATGGTGTGCAATACAATGGAGTGATGAGGCCCGATTCGAAGTTTGTGTTGGTGACAGTCGCAATAGAGTTATTCACAAAAATATGAAGCATTCCATGTTGACTGACGGAAGAGAAAAGTGAAATTTCCAGCATCCATTATGGTCTGGGGCAGTATGTCATCAAAAGGAGTGGGAAAACTTCATTTTATTGATACAAACAAATATTTGACAATTTTAGAAGAATCGCTTTTACCAGTGATGGAAGAATGTTTGACATCCGGCCAAGATTTTGTGTTTCAGCAAGATAGTGCAGCGTGCCATACCTCAAAAAAGGCTATAAAATGGATGGAAGAAAATAATGTACCTCTTTTAAAATGGGTTTCTAGCAGTCCAGATCTGTCACCTATTGAAACTTTGTCGCTCGAGATGAAAAAGGTTCTACGACAACATCCTGCTCGTACAATCACCTAATTGAGACAAAAGCTTCAAGAAATATGGGACTGTTTTACACCAAATTTTTGCCAAAACTTGGTTAACACTATGTCCCAAAGTATTTCAGCCGTAATAAAAAATAAAGGTGATGTTACCCAATGGTAATCTTTCAATTGTTGCTTCGTTAACTTCGCGCATTTATTCGCACATTCTTTATTTATTCAGATGTTCTATTATAAGTCTAAGTGATTCAAATATGTATTTTTTACGACTAGAGTGTATCTACAATGTTTTTGAGAAAATAAGTTGTTTTAGAAGTAAATAGTTTCGTCATGTTTAGTTTATAAAGGCATATTTTGGTACAAATCTTGAAGTGGGCCAACTGAAGTGGGAAGGGGCTCGTATTGCGTAATTGTTTTAAATTATTTTGGTAAATGTTGGAGCTGAATACAGGTGACATCGTTTCATTAAAGATTTGTTTGGTTTATCAACATTTTTTGCGCGTAACTTATATCTGGACTATGTTTAATTAAGTCGCGTTCACTAACAATTTTGTGATAATGAGTATGGTATGTAAGAAGTATAAAATATATATAAATATAAACGTTATTTTGGGGCAGCTTCTATACTAGATCTAGAATGACATCACCTTACATTGCATTTCTTTCATCAAGCCCTTTAAATTGATACTCTTTACCTTGGTGACTGTGAAATCGTAAGTCGCCATTTTGTGGCAGCCGCCATATTAGATTTAGAATGGCTTCACTAGGCTTATTATGTTTCTCTCATCAAGCCCTTCCATTTGATACCCATGATGTAGGGGTGGCTATGCAACATGTACATCGCGATTGGCGGCCGCCATATTGGATTTGCTTATTGTGTTTCTCTCATCAAGCCCTTTTATTTGATCACCATATCATAGGGGTTACATGTTGCAGCATCCGACATATTGGGCTTAAAATGGCGGCGGTTAATTTATTTTGTGCTATCTCGCAAATCAAACGTGTGTACCAAATTTCAGCTCAAATGGTTGAGGTTAACTGGTTCAAAATTCAGTTCCAGCGTACAAGTTGGGTAAAAGCGGGTAAAATATCAGTTACCTCGAAAATATCCGTGGTAATTTAACTGATAAAATATTTACGAACTCATTACTGTTTCTAACAAGTCCTATTCGGTTAACGAAATTATTTATCGTTACTATAGGATGTTCCAAAATTCATGATTTAGATTAAATAGAAAGCACGTTTCATCTTGTTTAGATTGTTTCCTCTTATTTAATCATAAGATTATAATGTATGGCAATTGACCTCCTCGGCGTTGCTCTCACGTACGCGGTCTTTGGCCAAAATTATTTATTAGATACAAATCCCGTTGAGGCAGACTTGACGTTTCTCCTCCAATATATTTCAAAATGACCTAGATAATTTAGGCTTAGGAACCAAGGCAAATAGTTGTCCCTGTAGATAATGTATCAGAATTTGAAAGATGTATAATTAATACTCATTCAGCCTGCATATTTCGACCGAAAAATAGAAGTCTTTAATAAAAATATAGTAACTGTTCTGAATAAACATGCTCCAATAAAAACAAAACAAATAACCGAAAAACCCTGGATAACTCAAAATATAAGAATTTTAATCAGACTAAGAGATAAAGCTCATCAAAAATTTCAAAAATTGAAATCACTTGCTCATTTTGAATATTATAAACAACTAAGGAACTATACAAAGCATGCAATTATCCGAGAAAAAAATACATTCTTTAACTTACTCTCAACAAAGAAAGGTAAGGAATTTTGGGACACTACCAAAAAGCTCAACATAACATGCAAGAAAACTCACTCAACTATACCCGAACACTTACAAAATGTAAATGACATACACAAGTACTTCCAGCAGACCGACAATTTACCAGACACTGCTTCCCAAGAATTAATCTATTTTTACAAAAACAATGTAAACATTAACGATTCTCTTAGCTTCCAACTGTTAGACAGGGCCAGTCTAATCAAAATTGTAACTAATATCTCATCAAATGCCATTGGAGAGGATGGTTTCTCTATGAGAGACCTAAAGTTATGTATCCCATTTTGTACGAATGCCTTGCTGAATATAATCAACACATGTATTTTGGGGGGATTTTTTCCAGAAATATGGAAGAAAGCTATTGTTAAACCCTTACCAAAAATAGCAGAACCTAAAGAATTTACAGACTTGAGGCCTATTAGCATATTACCCGCTACATCCAAAATTTTAGAAAGGCATATTTATAATCAAATTAGATTTTTTTGTGACACAAACGATATCATACCAGATAGTCAATCCGGTTTTAGAAAAAACTTTAGCACAAGTACATCATTAGTTAATATCTTGGATGATATCAGACATCCTCAAGAACAAAAAAATAGTACGTGCATGGTTCTTCTCGACTTTAGTAAAGCGTTCGACACTCTGAATCATGAAATGTTACTAGCTAAGTTACATTACCAGGGGTTTTCACAGAACTCCGTAAATCTAATAAAAACATACTTAAGCAACCGTTCAAACTGTGTTATGTTAGCAAGTGATTCTGCTATTTACAAAACCGATTTTAAACCTATAAAAAGAGGAGTTGCTCAAGGTTCAATTTTATCTCCTTTGCTATTTTCAATCTACATATCTGACATGGTCAAATCGGTAAAATTCGCAAAGATAAAACAATATGCAGATGACTCACAAATATATCTCCCTGTCAATAAAACCACAATCCATATTGCACAACAACAACTAAATTCAGATCTCCAAAGAATTGACAGATTTGCAAAGCATCACAATCTTAACCTAACCCCCTCAAAATCGCAAGTAATGATTATGAATAAAAACAGTACTGAAAAAGAACATTTTGAACAAAATTTAGTAATTTCTATTAACCATGACAGAATCCCCATAGTTCAGGAGACAAAAAATCTAGGCATTATATTTGGTAGCTCGCAAATTTAGCTTACATGCGACTAAAAATTATAAACAAATTAAAAAAAACATTTATCAGCCAAACAAAAATATTATTTGTGTAATACCTTAATTTTATCACTTTTTGACTATGGAGATGTCGTCTATGGTGATTCCCTATCGTCGCGAACCAAAAAATGCATACAAAAAGTTCAAAATAGTTGCATGAGATTTGCCTTTGGAATTCCATATCGAAACCATATCACTCCTTATCTGAATAACTACAACATATTAAACATGACGAATCACAGAAAATATCACATGTATTCATTTATCTATAGGGTTATAAAAACAGGTCAACCGCCCTATTTAAGAGAAAGATTTGTGCCTTTGCCTAGTGCCCAGAGAAGTAGAAATAATCTCAATTTTATCGTACCTAGGCATAGAACGCGTTCCATCCGACAATCGTTTGCCTATGTGGCGGTTCACTTATGGAATAATTTACCAACTTCAGTTAAAAGCTCATCGTCAAAAACATTCTCAAAACTGACAAAAACGTTGTTACAGAATCACCAGCTACTTTAGCAGCGTTTGTATGAGCAAAAATATCGTTTTTACATTCCTACTCGCTGACAGGTTGTATAGATTTGTTTTTCGCGTCCGTTGCCAGCTCCCGGGGGTTCTCTCTTCGTTTTTGCCTTTTTTGTGTTTCACCGCCTCTTCATTTGCCTCTTTATTGTATTTTTTATTTTGTTTAAGAACTTTTAGGGTATTCAGGGCTTTCTCGCATGGACTCTTTGTATTAAAGGGTCCAATGTATCGGTTTTATAATCGAGATACTGTCCTTTTTCGTCATTACTCTATATATAAAATTTCTTTTGTTTATGATGTTTATTCATGACGAAATAAATATTTTGAATTTGAATTTGAATTTGAATATTTCTTAATGTAGTCATTATCATTGTTCACGAGATCTGAGTAACTGATCGATTTTTCTTTCTTTCAGGTGAGCGTTCATCATACTTTTGCACCTGCAGACGTGGTAAGCTTTAGTAGAAGAAAGTAACATTACTTTAGTGTGACATCTAAAACTTATCTTTCAAGCTGATCATTTACCATGCCTTCTGGCTGTTAGATAAAATCACAGACGTAGGCTTGTGTCTAAACTAACGTGGCCCCAGAAACTTTAGTACAAACTGAATCCTGCTATGGTATTGATGACCAGATTTACTTGCTGCTTGCATTGAGGAGTAACTCCACTGTAGAATATGCCGCCCAGCACGGGAATCATGTAAAAAACCTACAAAAAAAACCTATAAGATATCAACTTGCAGACTAGGTAGCTTTTAGGGCGCAGTCATGCCACGTTTGCTCACTAGGATCGTTGTGAACGTCCATCTATGGAGGAATCACCCAACTAAACTACACGCATTATTGGTTGCATAGTTTTGTAAGGCTGAGTGGTCCGTGCCTGTAGTTTTCATCTGTGAGAAGAAAGTTGGTTGCACAGCAAGATCGCATCTGGATGATTATGTGTATTGGTCTGCATGCGTATTAAATCAGTGATATTTGCTGTGTGAGAAAAGCATTACTGAATATGCTGAATATGACGGATTATTAATATGATGGGCTTTCTGAAGAGAGCTTATGTTCACAGTTCTAAATTACGAAAAACTAAGAATTACCGAAATCATCACCGCGCCCGCGTTGTGTGTAATTAATGTTAGCATCTATATGGCTTGTAATTCGACAGTTTACAGTTTATTTTTAATTATTTATCTCTCTCATTTTAGAAATTCAGCAAATTTGTATATGTAATTTCCAGAATAGATGAAATAGTGGGTGCGCAACTAATTTCTAACTTTGAATCTCAATTAAGTGTATTTGACACAAGAACCCAATGTAATTATACTAAGTGATATATAAATCCGAACACCCAGTTTAAATGGTTTTATTTCAAGAAAAGTTGGTGAATGTATTTATCTTACTGTAAATAACAAGTGAAACAATTTTCAGCCTTATCAGTTGGACATTCCGGTTTTTATACTGGTTTTTTTTAATTCACTAACGCTCTAAAAATGAATATTTCAGCCGCAGTAAACACTCAACGTTGGCGGATTTTGGTTCTTGACATCCTTTATGGTCGGTTACGATGCCTACAGTACGGGGACCTGTACGATTTCGTCAACTTAGTGAGTTTGATAGGGGCCGTATAGTGGGACTTCGGGAAGCTGGACTTTCTTTTGAGGCAATTGCAGTTAGAGTGCAAAGAAGTGTGGACACTGTGGTTAGGTGTTGTCAGGCATGACTTCGAGAAGGCCGTACGCAAAGAGCAAGTGGCACTGGACGCCGCCGTAGAACAACAGAGCGTGAAGATCGCCGCCTAAGATTATTGGCCTTAAGGGACCGTTTCTCCACTACCAAGTCCATTGCAAATGAATGGTTTGCAGAACACGGAAGACCTATTGGCATGCGAAGTGTTTACCGACGAATGAGAAGTTTTGGCTTGTTTTCATACCGGTCACACTGGATCCTCCCTTTAACTCGAGAACACCGACGTAATCGCCTTGAGTGGTGCAGACAACGGTCACTCTGGGATCAGGAATGGAACAGTATTGTCTTTAGTGACGAGTCTGGATTTTGTTTAGGTATGCACGATGGTCGTGCCAGGGTTAGAAGGCGACGTGGTGAAAGGAGGAATCCACAGTTTTTTGTTGAAAGACATGTTCATCACACTGTTGGAGTTATGTTTTGGGGTGCTATAGCTTATGGTTCCAGGTCACCTTTAATCTTCATCAGAGGTAACATGAACGCGCAGCGTTATATCCACGAAGTTCTAGAACTCCATCTTTTACCCTATCTTGACACCCTGGCAGATCCAACTTTCCAACAAGGTAATGCCCGACCACATGTTGCAAGAGTCACAATAGACTTCTTTCAACATAATGATGTCACATTGTTACCATGGCCACCAAGATCTCCCGACTTATCCCCAATTGAGCACGTGTAGGATATGATGGGTAGGAGATTGCTCAATTTGCAACATCCTCCTCAGACTCTAGAAGCACTTCGAGAGGAGTTGGTGGTTGCCTGGAATGAGATACCACAGGAGGACATTGACCACCTGATCAGAAGCATGCCTAGGCGCGTTGGAGAATGCGTAGCACATCAGGGTGGATCCACACATTATTAAAGGTCAAAGGGCTTTAAAGCAGTGCAATCATTTTGAAATTGTTATCATTTACTTATTATGCTTCATTAAGTACTTATACAAAATTTTATTAAAATAAAACCATTTAAACTGGGTGTTCGGATTTATATGTCACTTAGTATATCATCAACACATACAACATACACTAAGATGTATAACAAGCCTCATGATGTTTAGGCAACACGTACAACTAAGTGCTAAGTTAACATCTTGTAGAAAACCTACATAATGTCAAAAAAGAAACAGCATAATATAAAAAAAATCGGCATAATGTCACTTTTCAAGATATGTGATACCCGTGCAGATCCAGGGTCTGTTCTAGGCCATTTGCTCTTCACCATATACAGTGTGATTCACAAGTCGTGACCAAAAATGAAACATATACAGGACCGCATTTTAAGGGTGTTCTCCTATGTAACATTTTGTCCTCGACTTTTGGAACAGACCTTAGACAACATGCAGTTACAACGGAGACAGAATTTGTGATTTCTTCATGACTGGGCATCACCACACATTTTTAGAGACGTCATTCAATATTTGAGTGAACGTTATCCAAATCGCTGGATCGGTCGAAATGCTCCTGATCCTCGAAAATGGCCAGCAAAATCTCCTGACCTCAATCCGATGGATTTCTGGTATTGGGGAGAGCTTAAAGGGATGGTTTTTGGGGCTGGTCCAATAACAACTGAAACACAACTTCGCGAAAAAAATGTTAATGCGACTGAAATAATAAATGGACAACTTCGAGGACCTAGAGTAAGAAGACCTGGGTTCGTCGTAATGAAGCTTGTGTGGAAAGTGGAGCACGACATTTTTAACACCTTCTTTAAATACAAAAAAGTTGTAGTGTGTGCTTTAAAAAGCAAAACAATGTATGTATCAAAATTGTATTCCCTATTTATAACTGGATTTTTTTAATACGTTCAATAAACTTTCACACACCAGGTGAAGCGCTGAGACAGTTAATGGTAAGTCCGTTTTTTTTTTAATTGTTTGCATTTTACGAGTACATTATCAAATAATGAAATCATACCTAAGAGCCAAATATAACAAACTCCATCTTTATTTACACTGCGTTCCGTCATAATTTGCGTCTGGCATTGCGGCGTTGTCAGATTTTATTTTACTTTAAAGTCGCTTTTCTCTAAAAAAATGCCGTCCAGGAATCTGGGCACTTATATTTCTCAACAAATTGCCATCAAATATATGATCACACTCCCTATAAATAATTTTAAGTTTGGTATTAGAATGTTTCCGATTCAAAATTATTTTTACAAAGTTGATGATTTTCTAAATACTGATTTTAACGTATTGTGATAGTTCGAAATATTTAGGTATGATGTACCTTGCAAATGTTATTGATGATGATACTTTTTTCTTCTGTATTGTCACTATTGTAAACAATCTTTTGTATCACCATGACTAAATAAATGAAATGAAGAATTAATAACAAGTAATCTTATGGTTTTTATTGATGATCAAGCTGACTATTCTATTTAGAGTTGAGAAGTAGTGAAAATCTTTTTTACGATTTTCTCAGTAACTTTACGTCTTTAGGTCAATCAATCCTCGGCAACAAGCCATTGTTCAAACAATCCTATCAAAGCAGTAGCAGCGCTCAACTTTAGAAGTTGTACGGTGACGCAACATCGTACAACAATGAGCTGCTATTACACACAAAGTCATTAATCAAAATCTGTTGTCGTCCACATTTTGGGCCGAGGCGAGAAGACGGAAGCCGACCGCGGCTTTGGTTGCTTGTACACCGTCCATAGAGTGTGCAGCAAATATTAGCATTGTTATTGAGAGCGATGCGCGACAGTAGCCTAGATTGCATAAATAACAGTGGTGGAGTGATGATCATTACTAGATAGGTCATTCAAGTGTTTAGGTTAAGTACGAAAAACAAACGAAGAGCCCCAAAAGTCATACGAAAGGATACAGAAAACCATTCCGGGTGTTTCAAATTTGATCCTCACTATCAGGATGTCGGAAACGGTAAGAGATACGTTAAATGGGGCCAAAAGTGTGTCATTAGGTAACTAACAAATATTTGTAGTTGGATTTCAAATTAAATTGCACGTTAGCGTGGTTACTTTTTCTCCTCTACAAGATGGTATAAATAAAATTTGGATATGACGTTTCGTCTCTTCTCCTCCAATATCAACTTTGTTTTTTTTAAAAGGACGCCATACTGAATTTTTACACAGACGAATAGAAATTTTAATTCTGATTCCTAAAATATATGATGTCCTGGGTCCTAGTCGTTTGTTCCGTATACCGGATTTACTGAAAAATGTTTATTTCCTGGTATTATTTGAAATGGGATTTTAAAATAAAGCAGCATTGCCGCTCTTCCTCCTCTACAAGATGGAGTAGTCAAATTCACAATTAGACGTTAGTTAGTTTCTATTTAGTTATGAATATAATACATTTATTCATGTCACGATACACTTCACATAGTATTTAATTGAGTTGATATTCTGATACTTACTAGTATTTAAATATATAGAATTTAAAAAAAAAAACGACCATATGAAAAAATAAAGTTGGTGATAGAAGTCGAAAAAAAGAAACCTCGAAATGTAAACTTGAACACGGTTTCTTGAGAATTAGAAAAACTGACAACGACAACATGCAATTGATTTAGATATCGCATATCAAATGAAGTCAAGAAAAAATAAAAATGATTTTGTGAAAGACATGGTATACCAAACAAATGTCTATCTGATAATTTCAAGGCCTACATAGGAAATGCGGTTTTTTTGAATAACTAAAGTTTGGCATTGTCAGTGTATGACATGTTATACATTTTTGAAATCAGAATTAAA